GTGCGAGATGCTGCAGATCTGTGGACCCGTTTGTTTATCCATGATGCATTGTACGTCCATCTGTTCATAAAAGTATCTAAAAAGTCAACTTTTGTGTTTATACTTTAAAATATTAACTGGGAACTCTTCAAAGTTCTGTCTGTAAGGATGATAATTAATCATTTAAAATAGGCTCTCAAGTCTAAACTGTTTAAAACATGTTTCCAAATCCCTGTTAAACAACAGGACTGGAAAACAACTGAGCTCAAAAGAATTCATTTAATAAAAGGAAGAAAAAAAGAAAACCTAATTGTTGAATTCAGCCGACAGATTCTGAAAAGCACGGACGTCGTTTGAGACTATTTGTATCTGTGATGAACAGTCACACAAAGAGAAAACCTTCATAAAACAGAAAACTCAGTTTTCCATTTAGGAGCGAATACAATGCAGCCCTTCCATTTATCGTGGGAGCTGTTGTCTGGCTTGTGAAAGAACACCTTTTGTGCAAAAATAACACACAAGATTGCCATCTTTCAGCACTTTGTCTTTTACTACAGAGGGGGGGAAAAAATAAAAACACTTACAGTGTGGGTTTTTCCATTGCTAACCAACCGGACACACGCAGCTGTAGGAAATTGTATCTTGGAAATGAAAATCTGTTTCTCTGATGTAGATGAGATGAGTTCAAATAAAAATCGGTGCACTACGGTGATTTAAACACACACGTAACAAATGGACGTGTTAAGATTACCAATAATGTTTGTGCTCCATGTTGTTTTTTTTAAATTATTTCATGGTCAGAACACAATTTGATAAATCTAATAAATTATCTATAGAGTTATATAGCAGAAGGCTTATCTTCCTCTTGATAATCCATCCATCATATTAGTAGTTAATATTAAATATGCTAGATTAAGGTAGCTTAACTACTATAATCTTGCATATAGATTCTGGAACCTTCAAGCTCCAGCAACATTTCTCTCCAACTAGCTTAGAAACAGTTTGTTAGTGCGCAACTTATACCTATTCATACTAAAAAGAAGGCACTAAATCCTATCAAAGGGGTCAAATAGATAAGGTCTGTTGTTTATCGATATTTAGGAAATAAACATTATTAAAATAGAGACATTTTAGGTGGATGGATGCAAACGTTTGCTGTAACAGAGCTACTAACCAATAGGAACAATGCATAAATTTTAGACCTTGGATTCTAGATAGTTTTAGAAAATAAGGTTCAAAGCTGCAATTGGCCAATTAAACGTCTCACTGTGACTTCACACCACCTTTTATCCCATTTCACGCCTACGTTTCCATATCGCCCCTTCCCACTTCTACTTTGCTCACATTTCATACTCATGAACTCCAAAATTATATTTCAGTGTCATTTTATTGGACGCTTGGTAGCAGCTTAATACATAACAGTTAAAACAATCATTTGCTAAAAGCAGACATAACAATTCTTTTTAGTATTATTTCCTGGCGATTTTATGATCCTCTGTAAATCAGTTAACTTTTATGAAATTTGACATATTATGACCCTGATCAAATCAAAAGCCCAACCAGCCTCCAGCTGGTATATTTATGAGTCGGATAACCGCATTTTTTTTTTTACAGCAGACTGTAGATTATGATCTGCATTTTGTTTTTGACATATGATTGTTATAAAACAGACTGTGTTGTACAGAAAGTCCTAAAAGTACAAAAGTTAAGTTAAAGTCCAAAATGATGAGGGAAGCTAAAGGACTGGTGTCTTGAGGTTGAAGTTTTGTAAAAGTTTTTCTTTGGATGCACTTCTTTTCAACTTTTCTGGTTCTTCATTAGAGCTCCTCGGCCACACGTTCAGGTTTGCAGCTACAGGTTTCTGTTCTGGAAATGTAATAGTTGGTAGAATTAACATGTTAAAGAACTGCTGGACTTCCTCTTCCTCCCTGTGTAAACTCCCTAAACACCCTTTGCCCAGAGTCAGCCTATTAACAGATGGTTCAGTCCGTCCCAGTGGGATTTGTTAGGCCACAAACCCTTAACTTGGAGGGATCACTGAGAAGACCCCCCCTCATTTAGTCCTATAATGTAACTGTGTCTGGTCAGCCAAAGGGGCCTGTGCTGCAGTGGTAAAGACTTTAGAGACGATCCAGTCCCAGGCCTCCAGGCAGATAAACTTTAGATCTGCAAAGCAGCGAGAAGCTCATTAGCATCTTAGTGCGGTTGTACAGTGATAAATGGGAGGATAAAAATCACAGTTGCTTAAAGCATACATGTGTCTAAAACAGCGGATATGCTTAATGATCCAAAGCCTTTAGATTTTCTAAATAAGTCATATTTCATGCATTCATGCATCAGTTCCATCTCTTATTGCCCCGTTATCTTTTACAGTCTGTGACCTGCTGTTGATAGCTGTGGGTAAGGCAGATGCACCCAGGGCTTAAAAGTAGCACAATAAATATGCTGCTTTTAATGAGATTGGTGTGTCTGATGTTTGTGAACATTTATGCACCTTATTTTCTTGTAACATTAATGTAAGCAGCGGTTTGTGCAACGTTCCAGAAGTCCAGCAATGTGCTAAAGCTTAAAGATAATCAGTCATATTTAGCAGTCATATTGGTCTGCTGGCTATGCTTTTTGGTTGTAGCATCTTCCATATGTTAAATTCATCTTAAACTGTAGTTCTTTATTGTGGAGCGACACAGACCTGCTGGATCTTTACTGCTAATATTAGGCTGCAATATAACGTATAAGTGATGAAATGAACAAACTGATATTGCAAAAGTACCGATCCAGCACTAAAATGGTGATATCTGTATCGGCGAGTACCATCAAATAGGGCTCCGATACCATTTTGAGAGCCAAAAGTTTATTCAACTATTGTCACCCATTCCAGGTAGGCAATAAAAAGTTCTACTGGATTGACTTTTTATTAGGCTTTTTCCAGCTTCACAAAGGTAGGCAGCAGCTTGACAAAGCCACGATTGCAATTAATTTACATTCAAGTAGTATGCAGTTCTTCATATATACACACACACACACACACTCACATCAATTTCAAATGGATTTATCGGTATGGTAACGGTATCGGCCAATACTGCACAGCCAGGTATCGGGTTTTGGTATCGGGGTCAAAAAATGGCATCGCCGCAACACTAGAACAAACCTTACTAAATAAAAAGTTAATATAAACATATAAAAGCTCTAACTTTCAAAAGATTAAGGGCTTTTAATGATGCATTTGGGGAGTTTCTTCTTTAGGGTGGAAAGATGACAGAACATACTTCATAATGTCAAAAGCTTTATCTTGGTTTTAAAGGTTTTACTAGAGGAAGAAAAAAAAAAACAACTAACCTGTTTAGTAAGTAGAGCCCCTGCTGGCACCATCTCCAAGCCTCTAACCAAGTCTTTTCAAATACATTATTTTTAGCTCAAGAGTTATTAACAGTGCTTCTTCTTTGTCGGCCATGTTTAATTAAATTAAATCTAAAAGTTTTGTGAGACTTCCTGCCTGACATTTTCTTTTTTTTCTGAATAAAATCTGTGCGTGGTGTTATGCGCTTCCCCTGTGACTGCACACCACACACTGTAGGACCACACCTGTTATAACTCTTACCTTTTATCACCCTGTGTGAGCTTTCCTGGGTTTTGAATTATCACCAGAAAATGTTAAAATCATGTCGTGTGAACCATGACACCTCTGGCACCAAGTTTCACATGAATGTAAAAGTAGTCAGATACTTATGGCAACACAGTATGTTAGTATTTAAAGGAAAAAAAAAAAAGATATAAGTGTTAAGTTTTACACTTACATCTAAAGGTAGATTATTTTTTATATTAAAAAACAAAATCAAAATATTATACATTCACAAAACAAACATCAAACATTTGGAGCATTTGGCATCATAATGTTTAGTTATTCGACAAACCTTTTAACATGGTTGTTAAATGAAAATGCTGTTTTTCTTTATGGTCAAGGCTTTTAAAAATGTTAAAAACTTGATGATTTATCAGAACAATCTTTGATGTAGGAACTTGCTACCCTTCTGTTTTTAACTCTTTAAAATTTAGGAGTTCGGAGTTGACTCTCTTCTAATCGTTAACCCTCAGCATGACGCTACACCCACCAAACCTCACAGTTGTTAACATATTTATTGTTTCTAAGCCTCACCTTGACTCTTCAAAATATTCTCCTTGACACAGTTGCAAATCAGTCGTTTTCCACCTCTGACCATAAACCTAAATCCCGTTTTTTGGATGACGTCAGCTGCTTAGAACCGAGAGTGATAGTCAGCGTAGCAACAGATTGAAGATATTTAGAGAAATGAACAAAGAGAAAGCACTCGGTTAGTTATTCCAAAAAACAATTTCAGCATCATCCACCCCTTGTCTACTTTGGATGCAGAAATAATTTAGAATTTATTTACATAAAAGAAATTGGAGCATTAAAAACCCATCAGCCGAGGCCTTTGGAGGGTACTCCTGCAGTTGGCAGTCATATACCTCGGTTATTCTCCAGCTTCTGTAGGGAGGTGTGCACAGTTTAAAAGTTTGTATTAAAGAACAGCTCCCTTCTGAAAAAAGTTTACTCTCCTCTGATGTTCAAAATTGCTTTTTGCTGAAAGTTGATCGTTTTTTTATTATTTAACTTTTGCTGAAATTGATATCTGGTGTGGGCGTCCGTTGCGCCGATCAGCCATTCAGATTAGAGAACACACGCAGCATAGCATCTTCAAGGCATTAATCATGGTCTATAGCAGCCTAACATCCATCTCTCATCCTCTGGCTCCGCTCAGATGTAGTCAGTGTCAAACTCTGCTATTTTCATGCTGAGAGAAATCGCCCATCTTACTCTGCCACGGCTTTGCTCCACTTTACATCATTTATCATGGTGAAAGCTGTTGTTTGCTGTGGGAAATTTCCAAGTAATATTGAAACCGCGGTTGCACAGATGCTTTGTACACACATTCAATTTTGCTGTGTTGGCTTGAGATTAAGCGGTTTGTGCTGATCCGTGTGTGTTTGTGTTTGTGTCGCAGGAGATGGAGGAGAGGATCCAGCATTTTGATACATTCCTGTGAGGTGGAGAGAAGATACTTTTCAGGGAGATCCTGATCAGCCTGGGACCACAAAGACTCACTAAAAAAAAAAAAGACGACAACCAAAAAAACAAAACCCCACACTCACAAAGCAGTCTTGATTTGTGAGAATGAGGACATTCGTTGGTGCTATCGTCTCAGGAACCTGGCCATATCCAGACCCATTTAACACAACCAAACACCTGCAGGTGTGCGGGTCATACACACACCCACAGTGACGGGCAACCCTGGTGCTACTCGGGTGCTATCCTAATATCCATGCTGCTCTTGGGAACACGTCTCAACTCAGACAACCGGCAAAACAAACACATCTGGACGCTTCTCTCCACAGCAGGCAGCTGGTACATACCTTCACACTCTGAGACCCTCACCAGCAAAAGTGTGAATGCATAGCGCTGCCTGGAAGGGGGGCGATCACCTCCTGAATCACTGTTGCAGCCCTCTTGCCCTCAAGTGGAACTCCTCGCCGTATGGGCCAGTTATCACCACGCTATTATGTTGCTTCCTGCCATTTCAGCTGCTTGACCTGTTCGATATCTGAGCCACAGACGAGGAAACTCACCCGAGCAAAAGCTTGCAGGGAGGTTGTAGGTGATGTGAGCACAGCAGGACGACGAGCAATCATGTCCTGTTCATTATATTGGTCATTGGGTGTGGAAAGCCTCTCTTCCCCCCTAAAGGTGTTAATTTAGTTTAAAAAAAAAAAGGAGCAGAGTGTAGATCCTCCTCTCTGAGCACGGTGGCTCACAGACCTTATGAGTTCCGTTTTAGCAGATTGTCCCTGTTCTGAATAGCTTTAGTGTTTAAATCCTTATATGGGCAAAGAATCCTGCTAAAAATGTTCAGTTCTTTACAATGAAATGCCAGGAAAATTCAGGATTTAGTACCTTAAACATTAGTGTTTGTAGAGGACGTGTAAAACGGATTGGACAGGGATTAGTTAAAATGACCAACCATTACCAAGGGTTGGTTTTACTGGTTCAGCTGGATCAATAGACAGTTAGATTTTTGCAACGTTACACAAAATATGCAAAGGTTTTCCATTTTCCCCCGCTTTAAAGTACTATAGATTTTTTTTAGAGCTGGTTTGAGCAGTGCCCCTCCCTCACCTGTTGCTGCTAACAGAAACAGATCGTGTTACTTTAGCCATTTTGGGGATAATGTTTGTCAGAAATAAAAACAGATATTATATTGATCCAGCTTTTAGCAGATAGAGCTTCTGATATTAAATTTAAATTGTATTATCCCATCTAGTAGCTATAAGAATGAGAGCATATCTCTTTAAAAGCAATTAATTGATTCTCAATTAATTGGCTGATTGGCTGCTTTGGTTAGCTACCAACCAATCAGCATTAAGGATTACAAAATGTGCCTAAATTAGAGGGCAGCAGTTTACTATGGAAACTTTAAAGTACAATTAATTTATTGATTTATTCAACATTGGACAAAAATAATTGATTCAATCTTTAAGCCCCTGGTGCCATTTAAATCGTTTTATTAATAAATGGCAAGAATGAAGGTTTTATAATTTATAATAGGCAAGTATTCCTCTTTGCCATCAGCCTAACCCTTGGTATGTAGTAGATGGAGTCGCTGCTCTGGACATTATTAGTCCAAAGGGGGGACTAATAATGTCCAAGGCAACAAATCACAAGTTAAGTTCATGTTTAATGAGCCACAGTGATGATTCTACTGTAGCGTAACGCAGAGCAGCACAGGAACCATGAGAGAAATGGAGAAAACTGAAAACAGTCCCAACCCTTATAAAGTAGTTACCGGTATTGTTAGAGCTGGGATTTTTTTCTTGCTAAAATTGTATTTTTATTTTTAACAATTCATGTCCAATCTGATTTGCACAAAAGTCCTTTCTTCACTTCTAGGCTGGGATTTTTTTCTTGCTAAAATTGTATTTTTATTTTTAACAATTCATGTCCAATCTGATTTGCACAAAAGTCCTTTCTTCACTTCTAGTTTCAGGTATTTTTAAACATCAGAAGGTAGGATTTAAAAGTACTACCTTTTATTTAACTCAAATTTATGTCCATGTGATTCCCTTCCACTGAACTTTGCCTCCTTTATCTATTTGACCCCCAACACCCCGACTGAGGACCTGGAAGTACAAATAGGAAGGCGGCTGTAGGTTGCACTGCCTAGTGTGCCTTATTTCAAATATTAATAGATCAGATTTAATTTAGTTTTAGATGGGGTGGGTCTTCACCATGGGGTGTGATCCTACAGCAGAAATAGATTATAAATATATTAACACTACACTAATTAAAACATGTTGGTTTTAACTGCGATCTAGGCAACAAAAGTACATTTTTATAAAATAAAAAACCCAGCTGGCTGACATTTGAGCCAACCAGAGGAACTTGGCTGAAGCGTCTGCAGCAGATGAAATTGTATCTTTAAATGTATTCACGTCTAGTCAGGCCCCAGACCAGCTGGGGGAGGTCGGGCTCCACTTGAGCAGGAAGCAGTCGTAATGAGAGCCCCACAACAACAGCTTTCCCTTAGTGTTTTAATATGGGAGGCTGAACTCCCTCCAAAGGTGCTGACACACCGCCGCCCGCTCTCTGGCCGTCTGTTTGAACTCAACGTATTCTATTGTCATTACAGTTGGTTTTATTTTGTAAACTTGATTATTTTGTATTTCTAATTTTCTTTGCTTGAATTGAGATTGTTAGGCATGTTTGGATTTCTAATGAACAAGGCCAATTCTAGGCACACACCCTCCCACCAATAGTGTGTTACAGATCCCTTTTTTATTATTATTTTTTATCTATCAGCAGACTAGAGAAGCTGGATTCTCATCTGTGGCCGTTGCAGTATAAGTTTTCTGTTTCTGTGGTAAATCAAGGTGTTTACTGAAGCTTTATAAAAGGTTTAATGGCATTCTCATGCTTTTTGGAGATGTTTTGAGCAGGTGCTGACTGGACAAGACCCCCCTTCTTTTTCCTCAAACCTTTCAGGTCCACTCCAACTCAAGCTTGCGTCTGCCTTTTTTCCTCTTATCCTTGGTGACTTAAGCAGAGACGGTATGCAAACAGGCGATGACAGCTTAGCACTTGGACTACTGCAGTGAAGGGGGAATAAAAAAACAATGCTACCTCAGCTTAATTTATCTTAATGCGTAATCTGTTTACCGGGTGCTAAAGTACTGTCACAACATCTACAGTATCATATTCGGTACCAGACGAGTCAAACCGCAGCTGCTGCAGTAATCCAACAGTTGTTTATCTCTCTCAATGTGTTTGTATGTTTTGAATTTGAGCCAGATGACGATGATTGCGTTAAGGATGTGATGCAGGCTGTATTTTAAAGCTTTAGTTTCAGGTTCCTTGATCTGTTCCTCCTGCATTTTCTCAGCTTCCTAAAAGAAAAAACATTTTGTGCAACTGTTGCTTTTGCTTTCCATAAATTCTTTCCCTCTTTTTTGGCAGATTTTCATCTCATTCTTACTATTTATTAGCAAATATTTGACACGTAATATTCATGGAATTTTCAGATTTTTTTTTGTATGTCATGAAGATGTTCATTGAGCATTACACGTGCGTTTTGTAGCGTTTGTGTAGCAGGTTTATTTGGCGTCTATCGGGGGGTGTTAAAGGGTTTACAGGTCTCTCAGGTTCAACATGGGACAAAATGCCCTTTGAGCTTTTTGGTTTTTTTTTATTTATTTTATATTTTAAGTGGTTACAGACTGTGACATACTGGAAAAGACTAGCACAATAGTAGTTAAGGTAGTATGCTTTGTGCTAAACAGTTAAAAATGACCAGACTGATTCTTTTCACCTTGTTCACTTTGTCTTTAGTTTCTGCCAAACATTGTTTTATTGATTTATATAAATTTGAACATAAAATCTGGGTTGTTAAATGTCATACATTGTTATCTTCCTTTCTTATGGATTTTAGCCAGTTTGGACTAACAACCAATTTTTGTCTGGTAGATGAGACTACTTAGTCCAGTATGCAGAATAAAATGGTTTGTTGTAACCCTACTTTGTTTAATTCTTCCCCTTTTTTTTGTGTCCCATACTTCTGTTCAGAGCGTTTTGTAGCCTTGTTGGTTCTGTTCCTTTGTGTATTTTAAACACCTGTTCACAATGTTACTTTAGTGTAAGTTATATTTGAAATTTTACTGTATTTCTCAATAAACTGCTGTTGATATACTTGAATAAAGGTGCAAACTAAATAAAAAAAAACTCCTTGGAAGAAAGTTGAGGGGTGGCACCTGGAGCTTTTTCACACTACACCTACATACTACACTTACAAACCTTAATTACTTTTAATTAAAGGAAAATCAAACACGTACACCCTGCAGATATTAAAGTTGTGGTTTGCCTTTTTATTTAGGCTTTTTTACTCCGATAGCTGTAAATCAGTGTATTAACTGCCTTTGAGGGTCTTCAATCTACTGAAGCATCCTCCTTTAGTATAAATCCAGCTGTTCTTCAAAGGCTTCAGAGGTTGGAGAATATTAATGAATAAACAGCAGCAGGCAGGGAGAAATATGAGACATTTAAGGCAGGATTAGGTCATATCTAATGGTCTGAACATCTCTGGAAGACAGCAACTAGTAAGAGTATGCCCCTGTCTCAATACTCTCACTAAACCCTATGCCCCACTATGGTGCAAGTGCACAGGATTGCAAATTTTCTAGATTTACTTGTTAAATGTTTTTTTCCAATGTTACTGCTAAAAATTATTTTAAAACTGCAACAAGAAATGTCTCACATATGCAGTAAAATATGAATTATTTGGATTATTACACATGAGGACCGATTTTCATCACAGGTACTTGAACTCACTTTTAATTTTCTTACCTTTTTCTTGGGCAATAAACTAGTAAAATTCAAAGGAGAGGATACAAAAAGATGTGGAGTAATAAGTAGCTGGAGCAAGAACAAAAATGAAGGAATAAAAAATATTCAGGCTTGTCAGCACATTTTCCTTTATTTTTTTCCCTTTTCAATGTTTTGATAAACGGAACTAGAAAAAAATAAAGGTGTGGCTACTTTCCATTTGCAGCAATAAATATTAAAAATGAAAAA